GAAAGACAGGATAAAGTGATTTTGCAGCATGACAATGCTCGACCCAATGTTGAGGAAAGTGGTCAAGACATACTTGGAAACGTTGAAATGGGAAAGTCCTGCCCCACCCTCCGTATTCTCCAAACGTTGCTCCCTCTGACTATCACTTGTTTCGATCAATGACCTGGCTGACTAACACTTCCGGTCTTATGAAGAAGTAAAAAATTGGATCGATTCATGGATCACCTCAAAAGATGACCAGTTTTTTCGACGCGGGATTCATACGCCCGAAAGGGAGAAAGTAGTGGCCAGCGATGGATAATACTTTGAATCATTCATATTTGTAGTCATTCCAACTGCGCACCAAATTCTTTCGGACTTAAAAACGCAATTACACTACTATAGTAATATCGTGAAAATTAAATTTTAATAATTTGATCCTCAATCAGGCATCCTATTAAGATGTTAATATGCTGAAAGCTATAAATAAATTTATTGCGTAAAATATTACTTCAGCCGTCTTGGGCAATCTTAGAAAGACGACGTGCATGGATATAAGAGCAGGTTGCTCACTTAGAAGTCCGTCGCCAGCCCGGAAGCAAGTTGTAGACAAAGACGGGGAGTCGAACCTGGATCCCTTGTATTCCGTACGAGTCTCTTAAGTTTTTAGACTGTACCCATAGATAGTACCTGTAGATAGTACTTGTAGATTCATATTGTAATTATTTACGTTAAAATACTATGAAATAAACTATGATTGTGATTATGAAAAGTACATTTTTTAACATAAAAAAGTGATTATAATTCGGAAATAATTTATTTCCGTATCTATATTAACTTTTTATACAGGGTGTCACCAAAATCCGGACAAATTTCAATTTTCCGCTATATTGTGCCTCCACTAGAGATTGTAGCGTCTGAGAAGTTTGCTTCTAGTAAACAGTCATATTCTCAAAATGGCCGCGATGTTGAAACCAAGTGCGGAGTATAATCGAAGACCTTTGCCCTGGGCGCTCAGCAACGGAAATAATTCGATTCTTTAGATATCCGAGATCAACCGTTTATGACGTTGTGGTAAAATATATCGCTTTAGAACAGTCCAACGAAGATTCCAGTATGCTAGCGAGGAAGAGTCACTCTTGAAAAAATGCACCGCGAGGACCCCCGGTCGTTGAGAGAGCTCATGTGCTGATTTCGGATGATCGAGGGCAATCGTTGCGCGTTCTGATGGATGTAGTGAAGCCGTGGATGGAAACTATGGCGTCCGGAAGACCATATATTTTTCAACAGGATGGTGCTCATACGATTCAAAATTGGCTTTCAGACAACGTCGATATGTTTTAGTCTAAGGAATTTAGCTTTCCAACAGATTTAAATCTTTTGGACTACTTATGGAGCGCAGTTGAAAGAGTTACAAACAAGTCTCGGCATCCCAATGTGACGTCATTAAGGACCGCTGTTGAGGCAGCATTCGACATGCACAACGCTACATTACAGCATGCGTGCGAACGCTTTAGACCGAGAATATAAGGTGTCATTCAAGCTAATGGGGGATATATCGAATAATTGTGCTCTACAGGGATCCCCCAAGTGTTATGTAAAAAGATTTTTTTTTTTTTTGTAATATTTAACATTTTGTTTAAAGAAATTGTTCGATTTGTCCAGATTTTGGTGACGCACCCGTATCCACACACACACACACACACACAAATATGCGCGCACACACACATTACTGTATATATACATACATTCTCTAAATATGTAAAGATGTGTAATTTTTAAACCGGAATTTTTAACTGGAATTTAAACGGAATTTTATATTTGAATATTGCTTGTACATTTCGTAAATATTTTGGGATATTCTGAAGTTTTCTTAGATTCTTTTTAGACAGTTTTTAGAAATCTTTCGTGAATATTTCGGGAATATTTAGCTGGAAATATTCCAATTTTATTAAATAATAAAAGTATTTACTATAATTATGTTATTCCTTATAAACAAATATTATAAACTTATGCGAATGAATCCAAAATGCATTTCTTAATATGTCTACTTTTGTGGTCAGATTGAATTCAAACTATAAGAAATTATTATTTATTATTATTTAAAGCTTCTAATGAATTAAGCATTTGCTCTTCATTTGTTATTATACTTAAAAAAAATTAACAACTCGTTATGGTACCCACTTCATCATGTTACTTCATCTTGCCCTACCGTTGTTGCAAAGATACAGTTACGATTGATGGATAGCACTAATGCATTCTATTTTTGAATTAAGCATTTAGGTTAAAAATCTTGAAATATATTTTTACTTATCAATTTAATATTACACAATACATTATGTGCTTTTATATTTTTATATTTTTGTAGATACTTAAAATAAAAATTTAAAATAAAAACTATTAACACTATTTGAAATCATGGTACATAAATATTCAGACATAATGTTTTTTAAGTACTTGATGCAAATATCTAATCCGAAAATGGAAAGTATCAGTGACGCATTTAGAGTATAATATAATCATAATTAAGTAATATAATCATACTTAATTGAAATAATTTATTGAACAGTATTCGATAATAAAAATAAATATTGTCACAGATGTTTCGATTCATGACGAGTTCACCAACCCTGCGAATTTGGACACAGCAGGATCTGTCGATCGCCTTCTTCTAGGATTAATAAATCAACCATGCCAAAGACGGGACGAGTTCATAACCGAAGAGATGACTAATCATCTTTTTCAAACGCCTGGTTTTCCATTCGGCATGGATCTTGCTTCTCTCAATATTCAGCGGGGTAGAGATCACGGTTTACCGCCTTACGTCCGATGGCGTAAGTCTTGCAGCTTAAGTCCAATAAGAACCTTTGAGGATCTTAATAAAGTGATGTCGCTGGACGTCATAAGAAAATTAAAATCATTATACTCATCAGTGGAGGATATTGACCTCTTCTCGGCCGGTCTAGCAGAAAAATCGGTAGTTGGCGGTCTAGTTGGCCCGACTTTCGCTTGTATAATCGCTCAACAATTCAGTAATCTGCGACGTGGCGATCGATTCTGGTATGAAAATCCCAACAGTGAAAGCAGTTTTACTGCTGATCAGTTGCAACAGATCAGACAAGTCACTTTGGCTCAAGTACTGTGCCAAACGATGGATGGCATTGAAACCATACAACCATTTGTTTTCCTCGCGACAGATGTATTGAAGAATCAACGTCTCTCTTGCAATGATTTAGCTATTGGACATCTGAGCCTTGAATTCTGGATCGAACAACCATTTGAATTCAAAAGCAACATCGACAACTCGCAAAAAGTTAAACGAGCGGTGACCGATGCAAGTTTCTCTATTTCTAGGTTAAAAGAGGAAAACATCCATCCTAGAAGAAAAGTTCATCCCGAAAGTAATCTCAAACATACAAAAGTTACAACTCTAAAACCTTTCCAGAACAGCGTTAATCAAGAAAATAAAATCCTTGTGAAAAGACCACTTGTGCGTCCAAATAACAACAACGTCACTATCGTGATCCAAAATAATGCCATAAACGCGCCTGTTTTCATAAACGAGGGTATCTACGGTTCACATATTAAAATCCAGGAACAGCTTCCTATTAGCTCAACTTTTCGACCGCAGGGAAAACCTATACCGACGACTATTCCTCATTCATCAAATTTTTATTTAGCACGTCAACCGTATGTTCCCTACACTTTTAACGATCCCCATAATCCGAATCCATTAGCTTATGGATACAGATTTCCTCCTTTCACACAGGATGACGTCTTTTACGATAACTACTCTGCCACTAGTCCCAGACCTACTCTTTACACTTATTATACAAATTTCCAGCAGACTACTACGCAAATACCAGAGATTGACGATTATTTGATTAATTATGGACTTTTATACCACAAATTGATTCCAGCATATTCTTACAAAAAACCTAAACTTCTAGAAAATTTCGGACATCATAAATTAAAAGATGAACAAAATCCAGCCCAAAAATTGAATTACGCTGATCCTAAACTTTTAACAAATATGGAGTTGATCAGATCTAATTATGCATCAAGTGATAAATCTTATACACATAAACCAAATTATGATGAATATAAATATCCAACAATTACACGAACAAATTTCCGACCGAATTATGCAACGAATGATGAATTTTATCATACATATAAACCAAGTTATAATAAACAGAAACCTTCAACTATACGATCAAATTTTCGATCAAATTATGAAATAAATAACGAATCTCATCATACTCACAGACAAAATTACTGTGGATATAAACCTTCAACAATCACGCAGCCAAATTATGTATTAAATAATGAATCTTATCATACAAACAAACCAAATAATGACGAACATAGGTTTTTAACAAGTATGCAATCGAATTTTCAATTGAATTTTGGACGGAATGACAAATTATATCATGAACCAGATTATAATGTACTTAAACTTCCAGACAACTCGCGACCAAATGAAGATTTGCATCATGTACAAAATCTAATTTATAATGAATTTACGTCCTTAATGAACTTCCGATCAGATAAACCAAATCAAGAATCATATGGTAAACAAAAACTGAACGGTGTCAGAAATCTATATTTACAAAATAGTGATTTAATTAACGGATTGAATGAAGGTCATTCCATTAATCTCAATAAACCACAATATCAGGAACAATGGAATTCGAACGATCAGAAGAAACCTAGCAAGACACTATATAATTACGATGATCTTAATCTGTATAAAAAAAAGCCGGATGTTGAATCACCAAGTTATAGCATTGATAAGTCCCATCAAACATTGTTTACTACTAAGCCAAGTAACAAATATAATTCTCAATTTTGGAAAAAAGATTTGCTGCAATCTATCAAAGATTCTGTACAAAATAGACTTTATGGATCTTTATCTGTTCCGAGTTCTGAAACAAATATTCTTTCTTATCAAAAAGATATATTTACAGATTCCAATATTTTGTTTTCTATAAATAACAACTACAATCGGTACTCTGATACTACTCAGATTGATAAAAAAATACTGTCATCTACTCAAAGCGATTGGACAGACGTTTTATCTCATATAAAACAAGGCAATACTCAATCTTCTTTTAACAAAGATACATATCCATACAGTTCATTTTTATTCAATCAGACACCAACAAGTTATTCGACCTATCAGAAAGATGACCAATCAAAAGCATCTTTAAAAGTGTCAGGCAACAAATCCTTTGTTGATATAGACTTACATGAACATAATTCTCATAAAAATCTTTCAAAATCACATAGTTTAAATGAACAATTATTATTCAGCACTTCGTCAGAAATTTCAATAATTGATATTCAAGTACATAAACAAGAAAAAAATTTGAATCCTAAACGAACAAAAGTGCAAAACGTCACAATCGTCAGTGAAACGATCGAAGCAGTCCATCATCCTGATCATATCGGATATGTATCTCAGCCTAAAGCTATTAGTGAAATTTCAAGACCATTAGTACAACAGATAAAGAGCAATGTACCCGTTATTAAGAAAGCTGGACAATATTACTATGAAAAAAATATCTTACGTCAATATCCAGATGAAATAGTTAGCCAAAGTCCCAAAAGTAATCCTCACTTGGCAGACAAATCTGACGGAACATTCATTCAGGACCGAAAAATGACATCTGAGAAGATTGTAGTAGAAACATCAGTTATTGATAATCCCATAACGAACTCTGAAGTGATTCAAAATGAAAATAAATTGATACCTACGCTTCTGATTATTACTCATAGTAATCACACAGGTGACGTAAAAGATGTCCAAAGTGCTTCCTCGATAGATATCGAAAGTGTTGCACCGGCTGACGTTCCCGACAGGTATTTCTCTTAAATACTGTTTACATAAACAATTGCACTTTGAAATCGTAACGTACATATGCTTTTTACGTAATTGACTACAGATAAGCATGTATGATGTTTCATTGGAGACACTATTTCGCAATAATCGTAATGTACCTTCAATTAAATTTTCTTTTATTAAATGTTTCAGATATCTTTAATTATCTGTTACCTGTATTATTTAATAAACTTGAAATGTCAATAAATCTTTATGTTCCGGTTTAAAATTCAATGAAACTTTTTTTTTGCTAACAAGTTACCAAGATAATTTTACATTTAATAAAATATCCGATTTCTTTTAGAATAAATCATTGAATGAATTTGCAAGAGGACATAAATTTACCATTTATGAAAATGATTGCAGTTTCATCCGATATATTCGTAAGTTTTAAAGAATTACCTAAGTCCATTAAATCGCGAAGTCATGATACTTCATGACTAATATGATTTTTTTTTAAATATGGAAATAAAGAAATTTTTATTTTATATTTTAGGCTTTATTCTTATTTAATAAAATTGAACATATTATTACATCCGAGCTCCGGATAACCAAGGAACTAGAGAGGGATGAACAGATACTAGCTTTGGAGGTCCTGCCACATTTACACTCCGGATTTCCAAAGGGTTAGAGCGGAAGATCGTGACTGGAATTTCTTTCGCGGTCAACGCCCTGCGGAGCAGATCACGAGTCGAACGCACATATGTTAAAAGCCCAAAACTGGATCAGTGCGCCATGTCGTGCGCTATAACGCCAATTAATGTTCGATGGTCCTTGTCTTTCGGTCATGGCACGAAATTATCTTAATCTATGTGAATCCAGTGTAATCTCAGGGGAACAGAGGATAAACACGACAGAATTAATTGAATAATCAAGGCTTTATTTCTATGATATAATTATTAAATTTATTTATTAGGAAATTTGAATACAAAATGTTACAATAAAAATAGACATTAATTAAAAATAAATTATAATTAAAAATAAACAATACAATTTTCTTGATCCATTATATCTGCGTGCGTGCGTGTTGGGTACAGAACAGAGAGGTACGATGAAGGAGAAATGTGTTAAATCAAGGAAAATTCATAGGGTTGACAGAAAATTAGAGAGGGACTGGAAAAGAGAATGGAATGAGAGGTGCGAAATTGTTGGATGGATATGATAAAGGGGAACGGACATCTCTTGATATGCACGATTAAGCGGTCGTGGGAAGAAGGAGGGTACGCTAACCAGATGAGTTCATTCACGTCTTGTACTAATGATACGTTGGGGAGGATGAAAATTAGGGGCTATCGTGCGGAGAAAAGAGAAAAGAATCATCTGTAAGCGGATGAGGTAATTCCGAAGTCGGATAAAATGATGATTCCGGGCTTGGAACGGAGAAAGAATGTCCGTCGGGTCCAGATGTTCATTCAGAACTGGGGATATCGCAGTAAGAAGGTTCAAAAGGGAATGAGAAAGGGAATTTCAATTTCAATCTTATAAACCTATTTTGATACTTGAACAATCAAATAAGACCTCTTTTAATATTCTTAATCTACAGCTTCTATTCAGAATACATACTTCTTTTGAACCCAAAAATAATAAATTTTCGAATAACTCGCATTTACAAGCTCAACCTAGAAGCTCAATTCATTAGATTAGAATCTATTATAAATCTAGAGTCTATATACGTCGTAATTATAAATCTTTAGAGTTCAACACTACGTCTTAAAACTATGATTCAAAGTAAAAGCAAAATTTCAATTCTGGCGAAATTTATCCGTCAAATAACGACGTATAAAGATAGCGAATTTGCAAGGTAAGTTAGAGAGAGAGAGAGAGAGAGAGAGAGAGAGAGAGAGTGTGTGTGTGTGAGTGCTCGTTTGTGGGCGTTTCTTATATGAGATAGAATAATTCTATGTTCTTAGACAACTGATTGCAACGAGTGCCCTTTGTAGTCGCTCAGACGGTGAGTGCCCGGCGTCGTCCCTTACTTTTTATACGCGACCTGTGATTCGCTAACTTTATCCTTTAATAATTCAAAAAGTAAGCATTGGATAAAATTTTTGTACAGAAAAAATTATCTTAGAATTCAGCCAGGAACACGTCTGTGCAAGAACATGGAATTTTTTCGAATCACCCTGTATAGAGATCCTCCTGGAGTCAGTCAGGTTCGAATTGATGGAATTTCTATGGGTGGTAATAGAGTTTTGTTAATTATTGGTTACAGTTCTTCTTCTCGCTCCAAGATTGGACAAAGTTTGAAATGTGTTTTTGAGGAAGGAAAGGGTGTTCGGTGAAATTTGTGTAGTATCGCTTTAATTTTATTGCGCTTTTCACTAAAATTATATACGTCAAGAAAGCACACGTGCAGCGTCGACTACCAAAAACATTCTCCTCGTCCTTTTTTGATTTTACGATCACGGACTCGTAGAAATCGTCTCCGACTTAATCGTTAGAGAAATGTCTTGGCGCCGATCCTGCTTTCCCAAACGGCTTATATATTTATCTTTAGTCACGGTGTCCAAGGAGTTCTTGGCGTTCTTTTGGTTCTGCTGTTCGCGCACGTGCATTGATTTTTAGTTTATCTCTGAGAGACATTTACGGAGGAGATACTGGATTTTTGGCTTAATTTTCCGTGTGAAAAAAAATTTTATTAACTTCTAAATCTTCAGCATCTGACTTGTTCGTTACTCGTAATTGTCTATTATAATGCTACAAATTCCAGACCTTCACAGAAGAAAGAATCGTAGAAGTCTACGTAACAATATATTATCGCATTCAATAAAGTATCTACACATTTATCAGGAATGGCATTTTGGTTTTGCGGATTTTGAAAAAGATAGCATTAATGTTAATGTTGTCGAAGACATTTTAATCGCAGCTATTGTTTCTTAATGTTTTATTTTTATTATTTTATAATTAGTCATTTACTAATAATATGCAATAAACATCGGTTTATTTAAAAAATGGATCTTCCTAAAGAGCGTTTTTTACATACATTGCTTTTTGTTTTTTTAATCAAAAGAAAACGGCAGCTGAAGATTATAAAATTCTGATGGAAACTTATGGTAATGTTGCTCCATCAATTAAGACATGTGATTCAGATAATTCCAATGTGGTTTAATGTTAACGACAAAGGTCGCTCGGGACAACCAATAAAGCTGTAAAATGCTGATCAGCAACCATTATTGAAAAAGCTGATTTGCAACCATTACTGAAAATTCAGTACAATTCAGAACTTACCAGAGAATTAAATGTTAATCGTACAACGATTACTAAATGTTTGATATGGAAAAGATTCAGATAAAAAGAAAATATTATTACAATTTATGTCTTTTGCTGAAAATATTTCAAAAATATTGCTGCAATATTGCTGAAGTAATATTACAAAAAGAAGTCTTCTCAATGTTTCTGCAACATTGTATTGCAATATGCAACATTGAAATGTTGCAGCAATGTTGCTAAGTTTTTGTGCTGTACGGGTAATGGCCGTATTTTCACTCTTTTTTCAAGACAGATTAAATTAAGTCTCTTCGAGATTTCACTACGAGATTAAGAGAGTGATTTTCACTTGTTCCGATCAATGCAACATATTTTCATAATTTCGAAGATGTGCAAAAATTTGTTGAAAATTGGATCAATTTCAAAGAAGAATCTTTTTATCATCTTGTTATCCATCTTTTGCCAGATAAAGTTATACAAAACGAAAGAAAATATTTTGATTAAGGTATTCGTCCATATCTTGTTTAAATAAATCAGTTTTTGAGAAAAAATCTTCAAAACTAAATCACATTCCTTATATATATATATATATATATATATATATATATATAT